GAAGGCATGGTGCTGAGCCACACAGACAGGACGCCTGAGAATGATAGAGATGATGAGTGGGAGGGAGAAAAGACAGAGTTCCAGCCACTAAAACATCTGAAACAGTCAAATGAATGCAGGCAACTTCTTTGGCAGAATGCCATTTGTAATTAGATGTTGTTCCATTAGCAATCCGGCTAGTAAATTATTAACCATGAGGTTGAATTTGCAATAATGGATTCAAGTGGATAAGCCTTTACTCCACATATAAAACTTAAATAGCAGTTGAAGTCAAAACAAATTGGGCAAAACACTTATGTTATTCCAGTTCGCAAAGAAAATGTAGCAAGGGCTGTACTTCCACCTGGCTTTTGAGAAATCAACACAGAGAAAAACAAACATGCATCTCTTTTGTTGACATTGACAGTGACGTAGCTAGTCAATTTGAACTGCATGGAGTAACAGTAATGTTTTATCGGCCAGACAGCTGTTATCCTAGAATGGAGCTAGCAGAAGCATACCACTTTGCACTAACGGTGTTTGCATATGATGAGTCGATATTTGGGTGAGGCTACATTATCCAACATTAGCTAGGTGCAATGGTTCTAGGATATAGCAAGTGGCCTGTTCTGACACTTCCTGGATCACTATTCACACTGCTGATTCACACACTGCTAAGACAACTTCCTTTAAATGTACAGCGTTAATTATAGTATGTAGAGTACGGCTCGTTCTAGTCGGTTTAGTTTAATGTTGAAGGTAACGTAAGTTGTCGCTTAATGTAACATTAACGTTAGCTATACATTGCCCAGCTAAGCTTAGTTTAGCTCACCTAAGGTTTGGACGACGAGAGCGAGCTTTGCCTACCGATAAAATCATAACGAAATAAATACTTACACAGCTGGCTAAAGAGCATAATGCCAGACAAGCCCCCATTTTCACATTAAATTCCTGATATGATAGTGTACTGTCGACTGGAAGATTTCGCCTGCCTGGAGAAAACAAACAGTCGGAAGTTACTCGCTTTTCAAAATAAGAGTCTCCCGATTACCTCAAATGACACCCTTTTCAACATAAAACACCTCAAATGTTGGATACTGGCCCCACCAAGGCATGTGACTGTGAGTTACATTTATACTGCAGTTTTAGATATGATGACACATGTTTGTGTTGTTAATTTGTTGTATCATGGTTTTTATTTCCAACATAACACATCGTGGTTCGTGTGTATATTTGTAAGTTGTGTCTGCAGGGTACAGTGAACAGGAAACTAACTGTGGGGACTTTGACATCAACCATCTGTCCTTTCGCTCAGTATCCCAGGAGCTGAGTGTCTGTTTAACTACAAGGATATCAAGAAAGAGCCTGTCAAGAGCTGAAAGAAGGCTCTTCAAAGCCCCTGCTGTTGGTAGTGCACCAGCTCAGTGGGGAGCCAACAGTGATTGTGTTATTAATAGACTATCTAACAAGGAACATGGAATATGTCAGTGCCAGATACTAAATCCATTCTTTAGTGAGGATTGAGATTAGGTTTAGTAAAATCATTCTTCTCTTGGACAAGGAAAACAATATATATTTTTGTAAATTAAAAAATCTGCCCCTTTTAACAGGGGTCACATTGCCTTGAGGAGATCCAAAATATAGGTATGTAGATGGTTATGCAAAGAACATAATAATCAATAGTAAATACAAATTATACAATAAAATAAAAAGACAGTACTTTTTTTTTCAAGGTCTGATAAACAAGCCTTATATAACCATTTTCGGACACAAACATAACATATCCTATCCCAGCATAACACCAGCAGCTGCAGCCACAGATAAACTGTCAGATCATTGGTGAGTGGTTTATGACTTATTCTTACCACTAGAGGGAATGCTGATTCCACAGAAGTGTCTGGTGGCTGTATAAAAGGCACTTCAAATAAAGTACGCTCCCCTTCAAGCAATCTGTGCCATTCTAATCTATTGGTGTAGGATGATTTCTTTTACAGAACAGAGATGAATATTGAACAATGTCTGTCAATGAATATATTGTATTTTGTTGAAATCTACTAGGATTATTACCTGTAGTGGGAAATTGTGTGTCATGTTCAATTTTAGTAAAAGTAGCAATGGTGAATTATAAAAAAGTAAAAGTCCTCTATTCAAAAATCTTTCTTGAGTAAAATTACAAAAGTAAAAGTATTAGCTCTGAATGATACTTAATCCTAAAAAGTAAAAATACTTGTTGTGCTCTATGGCCCATTTCAAAACATATATACAAAAGATATGAATATTCTTGATTATTATTTTGCATAATGTTTCTGCAACTTTTACAAGTGGAGCAACTTTGTATACTGCTGCTGGATATCTGAACCTGCAATTATATGTTAATGTAAAATATGTCAATTGTTCCCAAGTACAGTTATTGAGTAAATGTACTTGCACCACTGGCTAAACACAGGTGCCATTTGATGTTCAATATAATACATTTGTGTTAGTACACACACAACAAAAGAAAGACTATCGAAGAGACCAATACTGGCCATTGAGGAGGAAGAAAAGGAGGAAGAAGAAGAGGACTCTTCAAATGGTGGATTCAGAAAAGCTGGAACCGACCTACGACCCTGCAGAGTTTACCGCTGCTTCAACAGAGTCAACAAGCCATGAGTTACTCAAATATCCCTACTACACTGCAAATAAACCCACATTCATGGAGGTTATAATGTTCTGTTACTGTTTGAACTTTATTTTAGAGAGGTGTTGATTCAACTGTATGATCACTTTGGAGGATGTTGTTTTCGGTGATGTAGAACTGTATTGCATTGTGCTGACCACAGTGTTTCTGTTATTTTAGCCACTTGATAGATAGATAGATGGATCAAATTGCAAAATGGCTCATAACCTTTTTCTTGTTATAGTGGTGAAGCATCCAGTCCCACATAGATTTAAGAAAATCATATGAGACCTGCATTATGGAGCTGTTTGAGAAGTGTCTTGTGTGCAAGTGGGCCTGTGATGTTAAGACCCAAAGGATTGGTACATTCCTTTCAGTGGAACAGCTTTGCACCTATTGTCAGTACTCCCGGCACTGGAATAGCCAACCTGTTCTTGGAATTACTCCAGCCGGGAACCTCCAGCCCTCTTTCTTCAAACTTGAAAAGGTGAATGAAGAACACTTTGTCATTGCATATGGATGATGTTATTGAATCTTTTGCAGCTTGTTCAAATCAAATTATTGAAAATTTTACTACATAAACTTTCCTTTTCATTTTAAATAGATCTTCAAAGCCATGCAGTTGCAGATGTTTCAATATGACACCATACGATAGACCACAAGACCAACACGTTTTTTTTATTCATATATGTATGTAGATATACATATAGGCCTACATTTGATGTTTGTACAGAGAAATGAGGTTGGTGGAGAATTTACACATCAGAAGGGAAGATCTAAAGAGGAGCCTGCCATAATAGGAGGCACGTGGTGTGACTCTGGACTGCTATTATTTACATTCATGATTTTCTCCTGTGTTTTTACTTTAAGACTCTACCTGCCATATACTACAACGAACATGCTGACATGAAGGCAGGAGTTGGAGCCGAGCCAATGAAGACGGTGCCAACTTTCCGTAAATGTTATATTGCTTTAGTTTCCATACACATACATGTGTAATAATAATAATGTATTGTCCATGTTGTATTTACTATGGCACCACAGTTTTGAAATTCCAGCCAATAAGTATAAACGAAAGAAAAAAACACTCTACTAAGCCTCAAATCTCATTATAAGAACATTTGAAACAGACTTCAAGTCTTTGTTTTTTTCCCCAAGCTAGAAAAGCCAAATTAAGTTTTTGTGAATATTGCACAGGGTATGAAAAGGACCTAATGGACCTCATCTTTGAGAAACTCTTTGTGGACCCGGCACCATACCTGGAAGATGTTTTGAAAATCCCCATTCTAGAGGGACTGTGCATAAAATGAGCTGCAGGACAAGCAGTGGGGCATGGTCAGTTTCACAGTTCAATGAAGGGTTAGTGTCACGATCTGTCTATGTTTTATTTTGTATTGGTTGCCTTTGTTTTCCCGTTTTATGCTGAAAGGTGTGCACCCCCTAGTTATGTCTGCTCTTACTTCCTGTCTCAGTGTTTTCCTCCTGTTTGATTGCCTGATTGTGTTCACCTGGTGCTCCTGTGTTTTTCCTCCCTCCCCACCTGTGTCTTGTCTGGTCTTGGTGATCACTCTTGCTGGTCTTTCAGTTGGTGTGAGATCCTTGTCATTGTTGAATGTGTTCACTAGGGAGGGAGTTCTGATCTATATGTAAATACTCTTTAGCCTTGAAATAATGGTACTTTCAGTTAAACCCTGGATGGGCTCCTGCATTTGGGTCCTGCCTGCTTCGCTCACCCTGACAGTTAGTCCTGACCCTAGCTGCCTTTGGCATCAGGAAGCACAATGCCACAAGGCTTTGCTGGCTCAATACCTGAAAAGTCAATCGCTAAGGTTGTGTAAACCTACTGTATATCTACGGTGTCTCAAACACTTTCAGTTCAATCACATTAAAGTAATGTAGAGCATTCTGAAAACATTAAATATTTATTTTCATGTACAGCATTAGGCTACTTGTAATTTACAGTTTAATCTCAATGTATTTTCCTTTTGAAGTTTAACATTTTTCACACTTTAATAAAAATATTTAATGGAGCTAAATGTATATTAATGGATAGGCCTACTGTATTGTTAATAAACCCACACAAATAGAAACAACAATCAAGCTCCATTTGAACTATTATTTACCAACCAGGTTCAGTGTAACATTTACAAGTGCATATCTCCCATTACGTATTTTGTGGATGATTTAATCGAGAGTTACATAATGTTAGGTAAAGCATGGACTTGTGAGGCTTGTTTTGCTCTCACATGCAGCCATAAGGTTGTGCCAGATTGATGTCTGTTTTTTTCCGCCCGCTTAGAGTAACAACACCTCCTATGATTGGTGGATTTGGACCAATGAATGCAAACCTCGCTGGTGACGGTTAGGGCCTGGAGGTTTTCGCGCGAAAACGGACTGTAGATGTTGGCGGTCTGAACGTCTCACAGAGAAGAAGAAGGTCTGCTCTTCAGCTGAAGCACAGCACTTGACGGTGAGAACAATGCTTTTATGCTAATGTTTAATCAGGCGTTCAGACCATTCAAACATTGTATTGGTAAAGTTAAAGGTCAGTGTGGCCACTGAGCATCGTTATGAAGTCTGTTCAGCATCACATAAGTCAACTGTAGTAACGTTAATTAGTATTTTAGTTTATTTTAGTTATGGCCGCCCTGAAGTAAAATGTTAATGTTATCTTTACGTTGTAATTCAAAAATCCTATAACTTTCGTGTTATTACAAACAGCTTGCTACAAACTTTAAGACTATTAATTAATTTACAATAAGTGACTTTCTGTGTTGTTCTCAGTCTACATTATGTAATAATGTTAACGTGTTATTGCTACATGTATTAGTCAGCATTTGATTGCTTAATTATCTAATTAACGTTTACAGAGGGGTTTTTGTGCAGTTACATTACATTTAGCTGATGCTTTTATCCAAAGCGACTTACAATAAGTGCATTCGACCAGGAAGATACAAACCTTGAAGAAAACAGAATCATATAAGTACATCAGGTTTCATAGAGCTAAAACATTTCAAGTGCTACTCAACTGGCTTTAGATAAGCCAGTCCTTTATTAGTATATAAGTGCTTTGTTAGTAATTATATCGCTCGAAGTGGAGTCGAAATAGAAGATGTGCAAGCTTTCTGCTGTCCTGATTTCAATGGGGAGCTCATTCCACCATTTTGGAGCCAGGATAGCAAACCGACGTGTTTTTGCTGATGGGAACTTGGGTCCCCCTCGCAGTGCGTGTATAGCGAGCCGTTTGGCTGATGCGGAGTGCAAATGCTGGGGTGTACGGTTTAACCATGTCCTGGATGTAGGAAGGGCCAGATCCATTCACAGCATGGTACGCAAGTACCATCGTCTTGAAGTGGATTCTAGCAGTTTCTCCAGTGTGTTTGTTTGTCCTGTACATCTTTTCTATTGCTCCTCCACCGCCATTTTTATAACAACACATCTGTGCACTCTTATTTTATTCATTGTATGCTGCACTCTGAAGCACTGAGACCCAAAATGATCTAATTTTTAGCCCTCTAGTGATAAACCCACATTCTTCATGCCATGCTGCAGACCATGCACTGTGTGGCCATCACGTGCTAACATTAGACTTTTAGTTTAGGCATCAGTAAGGTGGAGAACTGGTTCTGCCTGTCAAGTCATGTTGTACCCTGACAGATTATTCAAATGTGAAAGAATTCTGTGCAACTATACTGCCATATCAATCTTATGCTGATATCGCTCATTGCAGCCACATGTCATCAAATGTAACAACATAAACAATGATAGAGGGAATCTTAGAAAACCTAACAGTTTTCTGAAAAGGCCTACACGCATGCTTGACCGATTATCTATCAAAACATAAGCTGTGAGCAGCACCATCGCTGTACTTGCTTTCACTGATATTGCTGAGAGTACAAGAGTAGCATTCTTTAATATGTGTACAGTTGACTAACCAAAAATAAAAGCCTTTCTAGTTTGATCATGTATTTGATTGATAACACTGTCTTTTTTATTTTTTTTTAGTGGTATAAAAGAGGAACAATCCCCTGCTGAAATGGAAACATTTGGAGGTAGGTTTAAACCACGCAAAATTATAATTAAAGAGATGAGTTGTCTTGGTATGCAATTTCACATGTGTAATGTTAAAAAGTATTTTACAACATTAACTGATTTGTTCAATTTCAGTATGGCTCCACTAAAAAGCAGCTGCATATAACTGTTAACTAGAAGAGCTTCTCACCAGAAAAATATTTGAAAGCAAACTTGCTTAAGAGCTCTTAAAGTTCCTCCTCGACTCAAACACGTTATTCCACTTTATACAAGTCACTGGAGTCGATGGTCTAGTTGGTATTAGTGTCGCTAGTTGCAAAAACTATCTATACAGTACTAAAAACCTTATTTTGTCACATCTTGTTTTAATTTCCCCTTCATAAGGCTGCCTCACAGCAGGGGTCATTGTTCTCATCTGACCTCTGACAGAGCAGTGACCCCTTAAGAGGCAGCAGGAGGCCGGCTTTACGTCCTTTAATTTTCCTTTGTAAGACAATACATTTCAATCACACATTAACACATTATCTTAGAATGTCAGTGGAGCGAGGACATAGTTTAGCAACAAGTTAATAAATATATTACTATACATTGAAATAAATTGTGACCTTGACTTTATCACAACTCTGCAGACCTCCAAGTGAAAGAGCTGAACAAGCGCTCGTCAGGACAAGCATTTGAGGTCATCCTGAGCCCCACATCTCCAGATGCCAAAAACATTCCAATCTCTCCTCTCAAGAAAAAGCCAACATCACTGGATGAGATTAAGAGGAAACTGGAAGCTGCAGAAGACAGGCGCAAGGTATTGTCAGAAATAATATTTTACTAACAGTGTGAAAACTGTTACTGAGCTGTTAAGCCTCGCACGTTGGTTTAGGATTCAGGTTCTTATTGCTAAAGTTCTCTTTGTCAGAGCCAAGAGGCGGACATTCTGAAACAGCTAGCTGAGAAACGAGAGCACGGGAAAGAGGTCGTCCAGAAGGCCTTAGAAGAAGACTGCAAGTTACGCAAGATGGCACAGGAGAAACTCAATCAAAAGATGGAGGCAAACAAGGAGAACCGCACTGCCAGGATGGCGGCACTCAATGAGAAATTCAAGGAGAAGGTAAGCTCTTAATATCAACATATGTCAGGTTTAATGTTGAAATACGTAAAACTACTGTGTTGTGATGCTTCTGCTTTTACACCCCAACAGGACAAGAAGCTTGAAGAAGTGAGGAAGAACAAAGAGGCAATAAAAGAGGATGAGAATTAATTTGTTTATGATCTGGAAAACAGTCTACATCTCCAAAGATAAGCTTTATTTTGTATAAACTCACACACCCATTGTATTTGTTGTGTTAGTTCTGATTATGCTGTTCAAAAGTTACTCACTGTTCGATTTGGTTAGGATATAGTCAGATATGTGTTTTTGGCAGCTAATTTGGTAGTTTTTGTGGTTAAAATTATATTTTTTCAAGCATTTAATTGTAATTAGTTGTCCCTCTTACCTATAATGCATCATATAATAGTGTTCTAGTACTGTTAATGTTGTTGCATGTTTAAATATAGGCTATTGTACTTTACCAAGGTTCAACCATTAAAGTCTATATCCCCAAACTAATCTTTATCTGTCTCCTGTGTATGTGTTACGCTACTGACATCTAGTGGCTGTCAGGTTTTTTGGTGATGTTTTTTGAAAGCAGTGATTTTCAAAGGGGCAAACGATAATTTTGAGGGGCTCAACAGATTAAAGAGAGAAGGGAAAAAACCGTTTGTTACAGAAAATGGGGGGAAATGTATCATGAACTCTACTTGGTTTTAACTTAGATAAGACGTGAATTCCAGTCTCTATTGTACTGGTATGGCCACTCACTCAACTTTATGTCGATTACGTAATGATTCCATTGTACACATGTAATCTATAGGACACTTTATTGTAAAATATACACGTTTTTTGCAGATATAGCTTTTGAATGAAAGGGGTTGCCTGACCTAATTGCTGTTTAATGTATGGCATAGACCAGGGTTCATACGGTCATTAAAAACCTGGTAAAGTCATGGCAATTCAAAATGCAAATTCCAGGCCCTGGAAAAGTTATGGAAATCAATATTTTCCCCAAAGTTTTGGAAAAGTCATGGAAATGTAACTAAAGTTGCATCAAATATAATTTATATTTGATCTAATCGCCGAAATAGTAATACTATAATGATAATAAATACTGTAGTAATGAAACGTAAAAAAACGAGGTATTTGCTTGAGAGATTTTAGTTGCTTTAGCGTGTAGAAGCTAGTAAGCCTACTATTTGATTTGTTTTAGATTGGCACAACATGCACCATATAGATAGAAGAGTTACGACATCTCCTTTCACTCCAATGGACCAGTTTTTTTACAGCAATGGCGGATCGTGGAGCTCTCTGTCACTACGGTTGTCACTACCATGGATGTATGGTCACTACCAATGTCTTGTCTTTTGCTGCTGCAGCGTAAACATTTCCCCAATTGGTATCAATAAATTACTTCTTATTTTATCTTAATCCTCAAATATTAGCAAATGTTACTTTAAAAAAAACATTGATGTGACTACATACACATATCGATATGTTGTATACATATTGCAAATCAAAACCTTTATTGACCACTAATTACCAAAAATTGCATTTCTATCCTGGTATTAATGCATTCAAATCGTGATTCAAATGGCCCGCCACGAACTTCCGTGGAACTATTGAGTCTCCCTGAACCACGTGACGATCAAGCATTTTGGACTTCCGTTGTCGCAACTCTTCTATCTATATGGCGCTGGGCACAACATGTTTCAGACCTTATTTTCCTGTTCCATGTTAAAATAAACCACTTTCAGTGGTACCGCTGAGAGTAATTTTTTTGGTCATGGAAAAGTCATTGAAAATCATTGGTGAAAAAGTGTATGAACCCCGATAGACAGTTCAGCTAGGCCTTTATGTTGACTAATAGGTAAGTATATTATCAAACATAATTAAAAAATATAGAACTGCATCTCTAAATTACTTGGAACAATTTAAAGGTAATAAAATAAACTAAGAAGATAACTTTACATCCCTTGGCCTTAACCAACATATGAAACCAATGACGATGGGTGAGGGATGACATTGCTTCCCTTTACAGGCCCACAAGGTTATGGACTGTAATTATAATATTTCACAATTTATAGATTACTATGTTTCCTCAGTGTGTATCAATCCATTGTTTTTCCTTCTCGAAGGTTTATTGGACACAGCTGTGGCTCTCTCACTTGTAAGCAGTGATATCTTCATCAATCAATCAATGTTTATTTATATAGCCCAATATCACAAATGTTACATTTGTCTCAGTGGACTTCACAGTTTGTACAGAATATCAGTATGACAATACGACACCCTCTGTCCTTAGACCCTCACATCGTACAAGGAAAAACTTCCAGAGAGAAAAATGGGAGAAACCTCAGGGAGAGCAACAGAGGAGGGATCCCTCTCCCAGGACGGACAGACGTGCAATAGATGCCGTGTGTAAATTTAAAAGATAATACATTTGCAACATAGGTAGTCCAAATGTTTGGAAATGCATGTGTGTATAATAGGAAGATGAATCCACGAGGATATCCATCCAGGACCTATGATCCAGGACCACAACCACGACTCAAGATCCAGGGCTCGCGATGCAGGACACAGGACCGCAGGATCATCCATGTCTCCGGATCCCGGCGTATATAGACACCAAAAAGAAAGACATTTGGGGAAGCTGGGTTAATCGGAACATGAGAGTACACAGGTAGAGACAGAGAGAAGGAAGATATCCCCCGACAAACTAAGCCTATATCAGCAAAACTAGGGGCTGAATCTAATCAGCCCTAACTATAAGCTTTATCAAAAAGGAAGGTCTTAAGCGCACTGGAAGCTGATTCCACAAATGTGGAGCTTGATAAGACAATTGCATAAACAATTAAATGTGCCGAGCACTGACTGTTACAAGTTGCACGAGTAACTACGTTGTCATGTATTCTTGTAGTGAACATGGCTTTAGAGCAGGGGTGTCCAAACTACAGCCCGGGGGCCAAATGCAGCCCGCGGACCATTTTGAATCGGCCCTCATCAAATTCAAAAAGTATAACGAAATATGGCCTACAAATGAAAATTGTGCTTGTCTTATATTGTACTTCTTAAATATGAATGTAAACTATAAGTATTATTCATGTCTTAATAAGACCACTTTTCAAATACATTCAGTCAATTAAAGTTGGAAACATTTTCTAATATATCTTAGTTGATAAGAAAAAAGCCCAATGACTTGTTTACATAACAAGCTTGAAATACACCCTTCCTATTTCTCCTTATTATAATCAATCTGAGGCTTCTGTTTTAAGGGATGAGCTGCCAACACTCGCAAGCATCATTTGCCTACATTTGATTGATTTCGCTAACATATAACTGAACTTATGAGGCAATAAACCTCTAGTGACTGGCCCAGCCCTTCGTATGTTTTTCTGTATGTGGCCCTCGTGAAAAAAGTTTGGACACCCCTGCTTTAGAGGTGACATGGTGGCTCAGTGTTCTTCTTCTATTTAACAGCAAGTCCAGAAAGCGATTTCATTCTTAACCTTTAGTGGTTCATCCAGGGAGGATATTTTGCATACACTGAATGTTTCCTAAAGCAGTTCATTGCATCCCAGGCCTCAGCCATTTTCAGACCGATAAGATGCTGCACCCACATGCCACGTGAGCCGTAGCATGTTTGTTAGTAGTCAGAAAACGTACACAGATTTGCAGTCAGTGTTTAGCCTGTCACCCATGTTGGAAATGTCACTCAGTGCCAAGTTACATTTGTTCAATGTTGAGTACAGAGCAGTTTCGTTTGTACGTGCTCACCACGTCTAAAAGTGGCTCCTCTTGGTTGTTTGCTTGATTTCTAGAGCAGGAGGAAATTGGATTTCAGGATTTTATTGTTTTAGCTATTACATTTAAATGGGCAGGCACTGACTGATGTGACATTGACTGTTTATGGATTCGTAAATGGAATTGCAATTCATAAATTAAAATAATGATGTGCTAATTTTTCCATTAATTTAAAAGAAACGTTTAAAATAAGAGGTATTAGACATAATGGTAATTGAACCATGCTAATGAAGTGTAATGTAAAATGCTATGAATTATTTGCACACTAATAGAAAGTCACCTATTAACCTTAACTTCAGCATCAATATTAAATGAAAAATAAATATCATGCTGTGCTTAAACCCAACATAATCTTTGTAGTTGAAATCATTGCATATAGGCCCTTTCACCCCAGTTTGATTGTTTTCCAGATTATTTTCAACATGATACTTTCCATTCACACTAACATAATGTATATAATGGTATATTGTATAAACATCTACACATAGTTGCTTGTGTGTGCCTAGTCTGTATTTACTATGCAAACACCCCCACACAATACTATACAATCCCATCTTTGTCATGAGTTGGGAATAAACTGCTGCACTCATCGGCCCAGAAAGCTGTTTGTCCCATAGTGCACTGCTCCTCGCCCGGCGGCAACACAGGGGACAATGTCTGGCCAGACTCCAAGATCCCTCTCTCAGTCTGTGCTGGATGTTTGGAATCCTGCTCATGACTTTTCATGACTTCACCAATTCATTATCATCACCATTTTAATCTGCTTTATTTCATAATATGGATCATGCTCTGAGCTTCTGTAGACACTTTTTCACATTCTGATGTTGCCCTTTAGATAAAGACACAGGTGGCCTTAAACACATTCAATGTTATTTTAGCCACACCCTTAATCTGTTTTTGTTGGGAATACATACAGGATACTCTTGCACTTTATATGTCGTAGCTGCTACATTGTACTGCCATGTGGTTAATGCATATCATGTATTTATTTTTGCTATGTGTATACATGTCATGTTCTTAAATGTTGTATGTGAGGGACTACGGATGGAAATGAGCTAAAAGCTCAAATCCGGCATATTTACATTTTGAAGCATTAATGTGCATTGTCCTTCTTCAAATAAACGATTAAATGAAAAAAGGATTGATTGAATCACGCAACAATGCCGATCTTACAAAACACACTGAGAGAAGTTAAAGTTGTTTCTGAATGCTACACAAGTGAAAGGCATAGGCCATAAAAACTCATTTGACCACATAAATCAAGGGGAATGGTTTTGATCCAGTCGTTTCTTTACTGTTCGTTGGATATCACCTTAGAAGCTTATGAGTTTAACTTTGAATGTGTACACAAGTCTCTGTCTGAATGTATTATCTACAAGCTTTACATGAAAGGACATCTCATTTAGTTATCAATGTTTATGGAAAAAATATGCATGTAGTTGTTAAAAATAGTATGTCCATGTGAAAAAGTTCCTATAAAGTAAACTAAAGTGTGCATAGAGGGTTTGTGGAATATCGAAATGGACCAAGGCCTTTGTATGATGACCCCTCTGTAGTTAAAAATAAGGTTCATAATACAATGACTAGTAGCAACACATGGCTTTTGAAAAGATTGCATGTTTCATAGGTCTTCTAATAAAACAGATAGAAATGCCTCATGTGAGTGTCACAGTCATATGGCTGTGGAAGAATTTCAGTGGAGAGTGGGTGGGCTGATAGGCCAGGCGACCGCTGTCATTGGTCGAGACATTGTGCGAGGCGGCAGGAAGGAGCAGCACCGAGTGTTCTGATTGGCTAGAAGACCCGCCCGTCAACCTGCCTGTATCCTCCCAGCAGCTGCGCGCTGAAAGCCGCCAGGCGCTGCTCCCATCACGGTCATCCTTTCTCCGTCTTCAAACAATGTTATCTATATTCTCTAAACATTTCACCGACTGCTAAACTCAGCACTTTGGATTGACTCTACCATATACAGGTATGTGTATTGTATTAGTGTGTTTAATTTCGTCTCAAGGCCATGCATTTTTTTCCGGTAAATTGTGGCATACAGCGAGAAATACGGTCAGATGCAGCTCGAACGTCAGTTTTCATGAATGTGGAGCGGCATTTTGTTAATTCAACGGTAAACAGCACACAGCAAAGGCTTTCAATGCACATGGAGAATAGTAGCAAGCTTCGAGTACTGAAGGGAGGGTGAATGCAAATGTATTCGGACAGCTGATCAGATTTTAACCGACATGTCTATCAGGTGCGGATTTGCTTATGTGAATTCGCTGCAACAGGCCCATACAGGCCTGGGTTTCATACATGCAATTTGAAAGATTATTCCTTCTTGTAGTCGAGCATTTTTCTCTCCCTATAAATATTTTAAAGGAGTGCAACCCTTGCTGGAAAAGGAGGGTGTGGACATCGGATGGGGTTATGTTACGTAATCTCTTCCCATTCATCACTCCACGCCTTTCCTCCTGAACCTCGGCCTGTGTTCATCCCACACAGCCTCATCTCTGAGGCACTGTCTCTGCTCTCAGCCCTCCATACATCTCAGTAAAGTCACCAACCCAGAAAGATATATGTGGCCACATCAAATCAATCATCTGTGCAACAAATGTTTACCACATAACCTATATTTAAAGAAAGCCCTCATACCCCAAAGACAAATCAGTACCATTTGTATAGTTCAGATTAATTGCATCTGTGAGAATAAAAACAGAAAAAACAATTTTGTTGCATCCATTTACATCCAAACAAACCTCAGGTCAGGTTTGAGCCATTCTTCAGTGTTGTGATGATTTAGCAACTATTTGAATTTAAATGGCTTTGGAAGCAGAAGGCCTGTAGTCTCATAACTTGTATACATCAATGCTTATCTGTATGTATTAAACTGGGCTAGCCAAACAGACACCTGCAGTTTTTTATAGCATCAAACCTACTGCCTTTTGCATTAAAAAAACATTATTATATCCTACCAACACAAATGAAACACTGACGCTGTTGAACATATTGACTCTGTGTCGCGTTCTCCACTATTCAGGAAGTATTTCACATTTTCCATTACCAATACTGAGAATTTAGATAGAGGGCTTCCTTCATTGGCAGAATTTATGACTATCAGGGCAGATGAGGTCAGAGCTTTATTGCACCTGAGGTCCTCTGGTGTGCAACAGTCCTTCAAAGTGATGCATCATGTTGTCAGAGACACCAATCAGATGGTCGGCCAAACGTATTCAAATTAAAACCCTTGATGCTGCACTAATCAGTATTTGTATCGTTAACAGTGGACCAAAAGGACAAATGTGAATAAGGGTTGATGTCAGTGTCACACAGGATTAACAGTCTCTGTTGAGCCTTTTAGTCTAGCTGGAAGAGAGAATATTGGAGTTCATGTGGAAAGATACATTGATACTTTATGAATGTTAGTATTGGTGTGAAACTTTAGCTACAACAACTTTAACAAACTGATAATAATTAAATGTTGTATTGTTCAGCTTGCTCTACTGCCCCCCGAAGGCCACATACAAATCAATAAATGAAGTTTTATGGAAAAATATAATTAAAAATGTCTTCAAGGATCCCATTCATTATCTATTTGTCATTTGACTAGATGTTTTAAATAACCTTGATTTAGGGTTGCTATTATTATTTATTATTGTAATCAGTTAATACTACCTATTACAATTTTCCTATAGCCAAAGATGACTTTTTCAAATGGCTTGTTTTGTTCCAATAACTGTACAAAACAAAATATATTCAATTAAGACTCGTACAAAAGGAACAACTGGCAAACTCTGGAACCAGACATTTTGTCCCCTGTGATAACATTGCATTAATGATTTTTCTGTTCATTTACCACATCCCCAGTACACTACTCTTTGCCTTTTGATAGTAGAATAACTGCAGGAACACACAGTACAATGTATTCATGTGCAGTCGCACACAGAGACACCTGCAGACGACAGTAGCTCAGAGCCTGACAGATATTCACTAACTGACTGTTCATTCACCCTTCCCGCCCTCCTCTCTTGCCTCCAGTTTGCCATGGCGACGGTGGTGATGGAACAGATTGGCCGCCTGTTTATCAACGTGCAGCAGTTGCGTCAGATCCCTCAGCTGCTGGAGTCGGCGTTCCCCACGCTGCCTTGCACCGTGAAGGTGTCCGATGTTCCCTGGGTGTTCCGCGAGCGCCACATCCTCAGCGGCTACCGACAGCCGGACCAAAGCTGGCGCTACTACTTCCTCACCCTCTTCCAAAGGCACAACGAGTCCCTCAATGTGTGGACCCACCTGCTGGCCGCGTTCATCATCTTGGTGAAGTGGCAGGAGATGTCAGAGACGGTGGATTTTTTGCGAGACCCTCACGCTCAGCCCCTCTTCATTGTCCTCCTGGCAGCCTTCACCTACCTCTCCTTCAGCGCTCTCGCTCATCTCCTCTCTGCCAAGTCCGAGCTCTCCTTCTACACCTTCTACTTCCTCGACTATGTTGGGGTGGCGGTCTACCAGTACGGCAGTGCGCTGGCTCACTACTACTACGCCATAGAGAAAGAGTGGCACACTAAAGTGCAAGGGTTCTTTTTACCGGCTGCAGCGTTCTTGGCCTGGCTCACCTGCTTCGGCTGCTGCTATGGCAAATACGCGAGCCCTGACCTGCCAAAGTTCGCCATCAAGCTTTGCCAAGTGGTGCCCTCAGCTTTGGCTTACTGTCTAGACATAAGCCCTGTGGTTCACCGCATCTACAGCTGCTACCAGGAGGGCTGCTCCGACCCAGTTGTGTCGTACCATTTGTACCACGTGCTCTTTTTCCTAATCAGCGCCTATTTCTTCTGCTGCCCCCACCCAGAGAGTTTGTTCCCTGGGAGGTGTGACTTCATTGGGCAGGGCCACCAGATCTTTCACATATTCGTGGTGGTGTGCACACTGATGCAGATCGAGGCGCTGAAAACAGACTTTGTGGAGCGCAGGCCCTTCTACGAGGGGCTTCACGGCGACCTCGCGCACGACGCCGTTGCACTCTTCATCTTCACTGCCTGCTGCAGTGCTCTTACCGCTTTTTATGTGCGCAATCGTGTCCGTGCCTCTCTGCTCGAAAAGGAGGATTAAGAGTTCAAATGAGTAAAATGAGAGTCTTATTTATTTAACACGGTAGTGAACATTCATTCAAAAAAAAATCTGATTTTATCGTCTATGAAAGTTCTCAGTTTGTGACAGTGACTTATTATTTCTTCTCTATGTGATCTGCCAAACTACAGCGAAAAGAAAAAGAGTGATTAAAGGTGTGTTTTTGTGAAATGCAACGAAGAAAAGGGATTAATATTTTTCTGTAGCAATACAGGTAGTATTTCAACACTGGAAAGGGTCCCTGCAGCTCTGCTCTTTTGTCAGTCTGTTTTTAGTGTAAAAGAATGTGGTTTTACTCATCCATATAAAAACACTCTTTCTGCTGAGGAGAGCAGGACAATGAAGAGACTAGTTTCTTAAGATGCCTTTTACCAAATTGTATTTAGAGAAATCCGACTGTTTAAATCAAATTGTAGCATTTCAAATCATGCAAGCATTTCTTTTTTATAAATACATTCCCATAACACTTTGTATATTTCAGTCAGATATAAATTCCAACCCAATTTAAATTGCTGGTTTTGATACAGTACATTTCTGACACTTTTGATTCTGCCCCTCTCTTAAGAGATCAAAGCAAGGGTTTGTGTTTCAATTTTACTAAGGCGCTAACACTTTGCCACGCTAATGTTTGAACATATTCTGGGAAAGTTGAGAACCCAATTTGCAAACCAAATATTGTACCCCTTATTTAAAAAGCAGAAGAATAGGTTTTCTTTCTTTGGGTAGTAACGTTCTTGAATAATGTTGAATATGAGGCTGGCACTCAGTATTGGTTGGGTGGAAGATTACTGATGTCTCTTTGTTGTTGTGACAATGTTGATCTTTTGTATTCAAAGGGCTGGAACTTCAGCTTTTGCCTTTTCTCATCCCATGATGTCAAAGCTTTTTGCGGTCATTGTTTTCATTTTCTTTTGATCAGAACTGAGTCACAAAAGGCGCTTCTGATTGGTTTTCTGCTTTTGGTTATGTTTCTTTTTGTATGATGAATATGTACGTGCCTCTATGCATGTGTTTTGGTATATACTGTGGATATTAAGTGTGTGAATGTCTATGAAAGCTTAGCCTTGCACTCCTTTCTTACCCTGTAAATAAGCTGTATTTCTTTTGAAAGTCGCATCCCATTTTCTCTCCACCGAATAGCACTCAGAACTGAATGCATCTTTTCTCTGGTGAGAAACGGCACATTACTGTCTTGATGCATCCATTCAGAGTGCAGTTTGTGTTCAGTGTCCTGCTGCCTTTTAAATGGCTATGAATATATCATTTCATACTGCTGCACTGTTACACTGAAGAGTCCCTATACTTATTTTGTTCTCTTAGTTTGATGAATTTTGTTATAAAGAATATCACACAGATATGGCTCACTGATAATGTTGCTTAGATTTTTACCTCACAAAATCTTTAAATGTCAGAAATGATCTATATTCATTATAGCACTCTCTGTTCATGGTGGTGTTTAATGTGCCAATGAATATGTTAATGCTTCAGTGACGGTACTACTGAGAGAAGAATTCAGAGACAGACTGACAGAAGTTGATTTAAATGATGTCCTGACCTGACTGCAAACATGTTACCGTGAGATTTAACCTTAACGCTGGCTAAATATGAACATTTCTAACTGTTGGCGTTACTGACCTGGTCTCATCATGCACTGCCTGAAATCAACACTGTACATACTGTAGCTGACAACACTGGCTATGTTTACATGCATGGAGGTATTTGCCATTTATGTGGTAATTCTACTTTTGTGTTGACACTAACCCGGAGAAACCTCCCTTGTTGTGCCCAGTTTTAAATCATTTGGCTACAAGAATAATGCTCTCCCACACAAGGCTTGTGCTTTATTGAAAGCCTTTGTTACAGGCTAATGATATCCAATTGGCATATGAGGCCTGTAAGACTCCCAGCAGCCATTTCTGTGACATTGGTTCAATGTCCTGACCATCAACACCACCAAAAATACTAGTACTGGGATTTAATCGCTGTCCCACATATTGGAGATTAACTGAATTTGTTCAATCAGAAAGAGAGAGCAGTGGATATTCCGTCACAGATTATTTTTATTTGAATTCCCATTAAACCTGACAAAGATTTAAACTTGAATATAGCCAGCACTCACTGTATTAGTGAATGTGTGTGTAAACATAGCCTCTGATGCCATCCAAGGTTTCCCTTTTATCCCTTTATGAAAGCAGGATGAGAGGGACCAGAATGTCTTCTGCCTCTTAAAAAATAATTGTGACTGTACTAATATTCTGTTGTATTTAAGAAAATAAAGTGTTACAGTAAATTCCAATCCTCCTTTTTATTCCTCAAAGGTTACAAATGAAGGTTTAACCTCTCGTGGATGTTGAAGTTAAAATGGCATTAAGATATTTATTCTGAAAACTACTTGATATGGTTTGAATTCCACACTTTGATTGTCAGTCCAAAGATTCAATGTGAATTCTTAACAATTTATTTATTAGACTGTAAAGACGGCTCTTCTTTCAAACAGACATGTCTGTTATGCTTGCAGTCATCATTTTATCACCACCAGAGGGCAGCCTTGTAGTTCAGTAGGACTGTCTTAGTCTGATAGCCATGAACAAACTACACTAGTGTCTTATCTCAAGTAAAGCTGATGGCGAAGAGGTATTTTGAAGTAAAACATATTTTATAAAGACAAAAGAGATATATTTTCTTTTTAAGAGCAACAGCTACCAATGTAACCTTTTTTGATACTCTTTAATACAAGTATAACATAACTCATGAGGGAGCAGTTAGTATAGGCTTTTATTGGTAAAGGCATATGTCTTATGTGGAATAAAGTGTTGAACAGATTGTTAAATATAAATGCAAACAGTTCATAACATTCTGTAAATCGGTTTGTAGAAAATAGTTGAAGGCGTCTAATGATGTTAACAGTAACCCCTTCAACAACCAAAAACCATACAATTAAAAATTAAAATAACTTGATAACCAAATGCTGATATTTAAATTAGATGGTGCCTATGTTTTTTCAGAATTCGGATGAAGAGAGCTACTGTGACACTATTGGCCTGTTTATTACTGCACGTTGAAACAGTATCACATTGTTACAACTGCCGTGGGTTACAGTAGCATGAATACAAAACAGATGGCTTCTCGCCACTGTACAGTTTATGTGGTTCAAATATAAATCGAAACATTATTTCTTCTTGGCCAAATAACTTTAAATTGTACGTACAACAGAAAGTCTTAATAACTCCAGCAAGATTGATTTCATCCCACAAAAACCAATGTTAACAAGAATGCATTCTTCCATTAGGTGGCACAAACGATCTGCACTACTGATGCATTACGGATCTTTAAAATGAACTTGCAGGTCAATCAATGGAGTTCTTTAGAAATGCAATTTATTGATGGCTATGCCTGATGTCACATATCAGAATATTAATTTCAGGCCATTTGCAGCCTGGATTACTGACAGAGTTCTGTATGTCATCAAGTTTGCTGAATTAAACCTTTGGTGAAAATAAACACAAGTTAATTATTGTTGAACACATTTGCTTAATTAACTAGAAATTGCTTAAAATAATTAAATCTAATGTTATTCATGTAGATGTTTCTGTGGGAACAATAGTTGGTGTGGCATCTTACTCACGCTGCGTCCTTGTGGGTGGAACATGTTGTTTATGTATGCATGTATGTGTGTGGATGAAGTGGCTCAGTTGTTAATGCTTGTTTTTGTTTACACATGTCTATATATGATATCTTTGTTCCTACATTTGTCTAAATATGAGGAAGTTTGTGTGGGTTTAGCATCGTTGATATTTGCCAGGAGCTTTGCTTAGAATGATTTAAGCTGGCTCTCACTTGTGCATTCATACAAGGTAACTGTCTCATCAAGCTTTGCCTTCAGCCTCTTTCCCACACACACGCACGCACGCACGCACGCACGCACGCACGCACGCACGCACGCATGCACGCACGCATGCACGCACGCACGCACACACACACACATACACACACATACACACACATACACACACATACACATACACACACTCATGCATAACATCTCTACCTTGAGTGAGTGGAAATTCATATGCTGCACTAATTAGAATATTGCTTAAGTACATTTTCCGGTGATGGAGAAGAATCATTGAAATTTAAGGCAGAAATGGGCTCCTGATGTACCTACCCTGAGTGTGCTTAATTCGCAGTAGTACACACTTAGACAGTCTTAAATCAAACGTCAGAGATAGTGATAATTGCTTTACAGCCTGCTTCCTGTCCTCTCACTATCAATTGCTTCCCCAGACTCCATCAATTTCCACATGCCTGTTTCTTGAGCGTCCGTCCCTCTCCTCTCAGCTTCACTCCTCTCTCTCTTTCTTGGTTCCTCTCTGAGATGCGCTGCAAAGCTTTTGCCCCTCTTCACTCCCCCTTTCAACGCTTCATTTGCTTTGTATGATTTGTATCAAGGTTGTCGAGGTAATATTGGGTGGCCTTGGTCTCCTATCGTGTTTTGTAATTAAAGGTTTGACTTGCTAGAGGGAGCGGCTTTGTTCAGAGTTATTAAATCGCCTTGTCTATCTGCCAAGTGACAGAAAGCCAACTTATTTTTCCATTTGTCTTTTTTTTTATAAATCTCTTTTGCGCCAGGTTGATATTGTGGCATTTTCATATGATTTCTTGCTTTTGTCATTACGTGGAGAAAGCCTTGAGAAAATCACTGTGGTATTAGGGTGTAATCATATGAGAATCTGAACAATGGTTTATCAGATTGTAAATTTGAAATTAATCAAAATGGAAAATGTAATACCTGTTCTCCAGTCCTTGTAATGTACTCACTAATATGTGTACCCAGTCAGTGCATGGGAAAGTATAAAGAGCAGACATAAGTCTCCCACTCAAACCTAATTTTCTATATAGTAGATTTATATGTCATTACAGGAAAAAAAGGTCTATTTGAAGTATACAATTTGAATCAATTGTTAAACTGAGCAAAATATAACAACATTAAGTGCTGTCTACATCTACAGGATTCATCTAACATAACGCAGTGTTTTAAAAATATATATTTGTATTTTGTGTACACTTACTGTAAAGAGAAAGTTTTAGGGACATTTATAAATCTGGTCGTTAAATATGAAGCTAAGATATGGTTAGCTAGCTTAGCACACATTTTCTTAATTGGTATATTGCTAAGCAAGACACTGAATAATCATAGCATTTTCAAAAAGTCAAACTACCCCTTTTAATCTGCACAGAAACTTTTCAAAACCCTAATTTTTTATTTTCATTTCATCGTTTATTTGAACCGGGACAATGTACATTGATGAATACTTTAAACAAAATAATGCTTTCAAATGTAAATGAGCCGGATTTTAGCATTGAGCTAATTTTTTTTCTGATTATTTCAGTCTTTTTCCCGTGTACAAAGATGGCCGCATCATCGGCATACATTTGCACATTCAACTCAGGACATACATTAGGCAAGTCATTAATGTACAGAGAAAACAGTAATGGTCCAAGAATGGAACCTTGTGGAACCCCAACAGGGTTGAGAAGGTAGGGGGATTTGGCACGGTTGACCAAAACACACTGTTTTCTGTTCGATAAGTAAGACTTAAACCAATGTATCGAAACTGCCGAAAAATTGAAATGAGTCAGCTTTGTAAGGAGCACTTGGTGGTCAACAGTGTCAAAAGCCTTCCTGAGATCAAGGAAGACAGCACCAAGCTCTGCTTTAATAGTTGTTCTCTAGATTTAATTAAATACCTGCATTGTGGATTCAGCCAGGGAAGATGATGTTCCTTCCTGTCCCTAAGGCAGTGGCACCCTCTCCTTGAGAAGGAAGACATTGTATCATTAATTTGAGATATAAACAGATTACTGTTTTCACAGTAATGTGTTTTGGAGTGTCCCCCCAATCAATCATTTTCACTGCATCCATAAAACGTTGTTGCAGGTTTTTGGAGATGAAGCGAGAACCCAGGGCAGGGGTTTTAGCTGTGGCCATGAACCTTTTTTTTGTGAGTTTCCTGGCAAAAAGAACACGATTATGGTCAGAAAGACCAGTCAGTAAGTTGTATGTTTTTAACTATTCTGTCAGCTTTGTTAGTAAATACTAAATTTATCATAGTCTTGGAGGTTTTGGTTATTCTAGTCGGTTGATCCATTAGTTGTATTAAGTTGTGTTTATCCGTGATCCGTTTTAAGTTATTTTTATTTTGTTTGTCATTCCAGTTTATGTGAAAGTCTCCTAAAATAATTAGCTCTTTGTTGGAGTCACAGGAATTCAGCAGGAGTTTTACCTGGTCATATAAATCCACCTTAGCGGTGGGTTGTCGATATAGGCAAATCATAGTGAGGGACATTTCCTCAGAAAGTGTGATTTCCACACCAACACAATCAAAATCAATATTAGCTGGAAGAGCAATCTCCCTACAAGTAAAGGTATTCCTCACATAAAACAACACACCCCCTCCTTTTCCCTTCAGTCTGTCCTTCCTAAACACAAATATTCCGACATAGATACAATAGAAGATGGTGACGACTGTTTTAGCCAAGATTCCGATTTTCCCTATCCTTGGACTCAAGGAGGAGATGTTCTAGCTGTTCATGTTTATTGCAAATGCTGCGGAAATTTAAATGTCCACTGAATAGTCCCTTCGGCTTGCACCCAGGTTCACAACTTTTTATATTTGCACTTGAAAATAAAACATAGCCTTCTGTGGTTATTGAACGTCTATTCTTGGGTTCAATTTTTAAACGTTTATATTGTTGTCACTTGACTCTTTCTTTATATTACTCCCTGAATTGTGTTGATTGCCATTGTTTTCCAGAGTCACATTTAGCAAATCTAATGAACTCTAAAGTGTTCGATGTATTTCTGGTGTAATTATACTGTGTATTGTTAAACAGTGCAGACTAAAATATAGTTAACAGGATAGATGAAGCAGACAGTTGTGGCATGTAAGTTATAAGGCACCATCAGTAGTCGTTTTAGACTGAATGTGACCTTCACAGCGTTAGTGTGTCACCAGCTTTGTAAAAACCACTACTGAGTCACTGGTTAATATTCTTCTAATAAAGTCTCGAGAGAGAATCAACGTCTGACTTCATCACCTCACAAGCATTACATTGTCCTTGCTGGCATTAAAGGTCACCTATTATACAAAGTCCACGTTTCCATGTATTTTATACATAAACATGTGTCCCCTCTGTGTAAAGAGATTCTGAAAGTTACAGGAAAAAAGATTCGCTCACTTTTTGTCCTGAACCGTTTATATAAAAACCTGTCTGAAAATGAGCTGATCAGATTTA